ACCCTAATTTGCATCTCTCCCAGCCACAAAAATCTGGTTTACCCAGAAAGTTCCCTTGTCGTTCACCAAAATAGAAAAGAACAGAGTTTTGATCCCCAAAAACGAAAATTTTGCGGAGTTCCACATTTGATTTTGCGTAGCAGATTTAACTTGCTTATTCTTGACAATCACTAAAAGTTGTCCCATCTTGAATTTACTTTTCAGAGAGACCTGACATCTGCTAGAAAATGCTTCACTGACCATTTCCATGCATATTGTACAAAATCTTTCAACCCGCTCCAATTTATTTTTAATTTGGGGTTAATCTTTGAAAAACGAACAATCACCAATGCGCTTCTGTGAGCGGGTCACTTCTAGAAACCGTAAAAAATGTGCAAATTACACTCCAATAGTTCATCTGTCGAGACTATTGCTATTCTTCGGGGTGCTCTTGAAGCACAGCATCCGTTATTTTAAATTTATTTTGCTGGTTGTATACTCGTTGGATTTGAGATGAGATACCAGAGGCAAGGGAGGAGAAAAGGCTATTTGTTACCGTTTTTCCTCAAAGTCATTCCCGGTCGTAAGTCGCGTTCCGGTCGGGTGTGGAAATGGGAACTAGTTGCCAGTGATAAATGGCGATCGGCGGGCAAGCAGACAGCAGACACGAGCACCGGAACCGGAACTAACATGATGGAGCGATTTTCGCCGGGCCCGTCATCTTCGGGCGCGTCCGGCGCATCCATCACCGGATCGACCGTCTGTCCGCCGNAACCATTCCCGTAGACAAATTTCTGTAAAAACTAATCAATTAATTTTGGGTGGATTTTTTCTGCATTCCTAGCATGGGATTACGATTGAGGAATTATTTAAACAATGCTTTTCAATTTACCCAATTTTTCCTGACTTTGGCTACCCAGCAAAATCTGCATTTTGATGACCTTTGGTCAAACCAAAATTCCAAGTGTGCAAAAATGTTCCAGCACCAGCGCACAATGGAAAAGGACCTGCTTCCATCCAAGAATTAAGAAGCTTCAAATTCTTTGTCATTTGTGAGCAGCATTTTAACGCATTACCTCGCAGAAAAATGCCCGAATTTTTGTAAGCCTTTTTGTACACCTTCAGTCTCATGAGGTTTGCTTTGAAAATAAAAAAACCTGTAGCTTTCATTTAAATATTCAGAACTTCAATATAACGCATTGGGCTTGTTTTCTGTCACCTGCAATGCAAAATAAGGTGAAGAGCATTTGTAAGTCTTCTTGTTACCTATTGGAATGGAAGCAAAAAGTTAAGTGCTCATGGACATGATGAATTCCAAATCCTTCTATTCAAATGTGTTTGCATTTCGAGCACTCACACACGCATTGCAAAAAAGTACCTTTTCAAATATGCAAATAGCAACATCTTTCAAGCACTCACCAGTCAAATTTGCAAAAATTCTCGATGAGTTGTTATTCTTCGCTCTACATTTCCTTGAATGCATTCAGTAAACGCAGCGTGGGCATTCTACAGAGATCAGTTGAATAATGGCGTTCATTTTTTATTAAAATTGTTCATGAACATTTACCAGGAAGTAGGAATCGCAAATCAGGAAAAACTACTCACATAAAAATTTACAAAAGGACAAAATGGAAGCTGTTGAAGTACATCAAGAAATGCCGTCCTCCCAAAGCGAAAGCAATTTCTGGGAAAATTTCACAGCGTTCCCTGCATTTTTCATTGATGTGGAATTTTCTCAGAGATTTTTTTCTCTTGTAGCGTACATTTGCAGATTATGTTCGCTACTGTCAAGGTCTTTTTTTGTGGATAATCGAGAAATTTTCAGATATAGTCCGCTTGCTGCTGAGTGATTCCGCCTGTATTTTTTCTCGTCACATATGAGAAAAATCTTATTCGTATTCACAGGAATATTATGAAAGTGCGTAAGGGAATTCTTGCGCAGAGATTCAGGGTTTTTTTCTTTGTACAGTACACACGGGTTCGAGAGAACCCGAACCCGTGGGGCGAAATGGGGCTGTCGGCACGCGAGTCTTGCACGCATCTCAGCGCCAAACTTTTTCCCATCAACTGGGCCGCTTTTCTCGCGTTCATCTTAATCAGAGCCGACAGAGGTGGAAAATGATGCATTGAGGCCTGATTTTTTCTTTCTTTTATTATTTCATCCGTATTTTTTCTTCTGTTTCCCCTCGGGCTAGGGAAATTCAATTAAGGCATCCGCCGCTGGCTGTTGATCATAACGCACGCCCGGCAGAAAACAATTCATCAGCGCCCGGACCCCGATCATCAAGAATTCTGCTGCGTTTTGATCCCGGAGACCCGGGGTTCCCTCGAGAAATCAACAATTCCCGGGTTTTCGTGTCTTTTCGAATAAGTTTTTTTTTTTTCTGCAGAGGTATCGCTGATGTAGGATGTGACAGCGACGGCGTGACGTCAATTTTCCCTCTGGCATAAACACCAGTGTGACATTTCTTTATCTTTGGGAAAAGAGACTGGTCCGAAGTTCTCTAGATCAATCATGTATTTTTTTTTCATCCATCACCAGAAGTTGCTTGTGTTATGTTTTCGATGAATTAGGAAGGAAATGCTGCAGATAACATATTTCTATAGTGAATGAATCAACATCGTAATTCAACGGATTCAGCCGGAAAAGAAATCATTATGCATTCAAGCAATGGAATTATTTGAAAATCGTCATCAAAGACGGGCAAAAACAACATTCGGAATTACGTAAAGCAATCGATAACCTTTTATCATCGTTCCATTCGTGAGTTTTACTCGTACTTTTCTATGAAGACAGTGTGATTTGCATGAGTTGCTGAGGCCGACGAGAAAATTATTTTTAGGTATGAAGTGGAGTGGATTGAAGACGCGAAAATTACTTCTTGTAATTTATATGAAGAGTTGACCGTGAGTTTGCTTACTTTGATTATAAATCATATTGGTTTGATTTTGGCGTTTAGAAATATTGTATTTCGCGAAGGCGTGCTGTTTCGCGCATATGAATAACCGCCGAAGATGAATTAGCAAAAAAAAAATATATATATATACAGTATTCCCCTTCTCAGAAAGGTTTTCATGGAATCAGCATTGCATTTTTTATGCGGGAAAAATGGGGCTTGGTAAAAAATGCTGGACAGCAGTGGACATTTCGAATAGATCAAAGGATTTCTGGGTGGATAAAGAAATTCATGCAAAATGGATTCTGAAGCTGGAGTAAAACGGATTTGCAGTCGCATCAAAGTATCCCAGGGATCCTCCCTTTTTTCACGCGTTGAGCGAAAATTTATGCACTTCACGCATCATCGTCGCCCTCGCGCGAAATTCACCAAAGAACTGGAAAAACGGCACTAAGACCAAAGAGAAAAATGTTGGAAATCCTTCCCATTTTCATTTGCATTTCTGGGTTGGTCTATCCTGTTTTTGTTTTCTTTTTTGCGAATCATCAAAAGACTGAAAGGGAGCCGAACAACCACCAAAAATCCCTGGATATTTTCGAAACGAAATAAGTTATTCAAAATTTTCTAAGACATTAAAAACGGAAGTGCACGCGAAAGACCCCAGAAATTTCAACCCCTGCTCTGTATAGGGACGATACATGTATTTACAATGAAAGGAAGACAATGTTACGTAACATTGGCATGCAAATCAATGCGGGATTCTTGTGTCCATCTCACGAATCCCGTGGGATTTTTCACTCCATCAAAAGCAGGGGATTATTCAGAACATTTTGTCTTGCGGTATCTTTTTTTTTTTTTCGTCTATGGCCAGTGCTGAAAGGTTTATAAACAAATTCAGGATCAAACCAGGGCTGATGGCTACTTGCTAGTCAGCACCCACGGGGTTTTCCGGAAAGGGTCACTTGGAAATTGATCCCAGGCCGGGGGACAGCATTGATTGGAAATAAATCCCTTTGGGGATTTACCCAACGGCTCACCGTGAGGAACTGTATCATCCTGACTTTCCCCCGAAAACCCCTTTTCGGATAGAATTGATTTCGACTAAGCTTGAGATCAACTGTGTGCCCAGAGTTAACGTAGGAATATAAATCCATCAATGCTCTATGTACTCAACATACTCCCTTTTCCGAGTTGCAATCAACTGTCCGGATTTCAAGTCTATCAAAGAAACATCGTCTTGCATAATTTTTATTTCATCTGTTCAATTTCCCTCGGGCTGACTTGAAATTTTTTCAACATGAGAAATTCAGATAATAACTTATCTGTCTTGAAATCGAACTAAGAAAAATTGATGGTATGAATATACAGTATTGTGCATGATCTCATGGAGAATAAAAAAAAACCACTGCAATGCAGTTTTTTGTTATGTAATTAAGGCTTATGAAAAGTATGCTGTTTTCCACCAAGTATTTCTGTGATACACGTAATTAAATCAGGAATATAGTTTTTTCATGTGCTGGATTTATATTTTCTAATATACGCAATACTGCGATTTTCAAATTTTATAATCCATTGGAAAGTATATGGCTGATTCAGATTGTATCCTATCACAATGGCCCTGGAAACTGGAACAAGTTTTTTTTTAGTGTGACTTTGACGACCTTGTATCTGTGAGTGACGCCAGATTTGAATATTACACTTATCCAATATTAAAACGTGATTAACGTTTGTCACGTCAAATTTGAATTTCTAATTCACGTTCCCAATTGAAAAAGGAAAGCATATTGCTTCCTTTCGACAGAGTTCGTCGTGATTAAAACATAATATCTTCCAAAAAATTGAAAAAGCAAAATTGATATGCATTGACTGAACTAAGTCGTTTCATCGAGAATTTGACAGTAACTTATATACTCAACGAATCTGTTTCATATGCGACCTATGACGAGGTTTTCTGAAATTTTCAGACGATCTACTACATTAATTGAAAATTGTCTAAAAGATGCCAACGGGTCCGAGTTCATGACGAAGAGCAAAAATGGAAGTACAGTAAATGAATGAAGTTTTTATTTATTTTTTATTAAAATTTACGGACAGTCTTGATTATTTTAAAATGGATATTGAGATGTCCTTGGCGGCTTGAAATATTTTTTTTATTTAGTGCATTACTCTTCATCTTGAGCGATACAGCTTGGGAACTAGCTTGAAGATGTTGAAAGAGGTATCTGCTTTAAACGTTTTGCAGGTGGAAACGGAATGACTACAACGTGAAGATAGATGTCGCTTGTCATCCCGAAGTGAATTCATCGCCCCACGAATAAATTCTTATGATAAAATCCCCGAATAGATTCGAATGATCGAACCTGCAAAATCAATCCTTAGACTTTGATTTCGGTTTCCAGGCGACAATTTTAGGGACAGTGGTTGAATAAGGAGTATACTGATGTTTAGTCCCCGAAAGATTTTTTTCGTACTTCATCATCCATGGGTATTTTACGCGAGCCTTGACAGTCGGCGCGAAGTCAGTTTTGTAGTGCAACCATCCATACCAGTCTGGAGGGATCATACTGAAAGAAATATTTGCGATCACTAGAAAGCAAAAAAAATTGTAAGAAACGAAATTTATAACACAGTAAGTGATGTGATGCAAAAGATAACATCCGTGAGGCCAAATAAATAACGCAGTCGGACTAAGATTTTATTGTACGGTATTCCAAGCAAAAACCTGCCAGTATTTCAATAGCATTCTACAGTCTACACTAGCATTTGAATATCAAAATTTCATTAATTATTTTCTTTCATTTCATGCGGCGTTTACTTTTTAAATGACGTTCATTGAGGCAATGGAGCAACGCAGTGTGTCTCGAAAATTTTTAAAGCTAAATGCACCCAAATCAATGCGGGTTTAATAGGTAATTTTTTTAGTATTAACCCGTCAATAGTCCACGATTGAAACAGTTTTGAACGACAAATAACCGAGGCTGAATTTTTGTTAAATCTTGTGTAGAAATCACGACAACCGACCTGTTAAAATTTCAAAAAATGTGACGAACCTCCCATCATAATCCACTCCAACACTTGGATGGTAAATGACCCATCTGTTTCTGCCGAAAAAGTACCGGGTGTTCTCATAATATTTATTGCCAAACTGATCTTCTCCAACCAATTTTCCATCTTTCAAATCATTCTGGCGGTAAAGTTTGTACACTGATGCCCGGATCCCGCCATTGTCTGAGATTGCCTTGCTTAAATTCCGTACCCAAAGTGTCCATTCACTCATGGCTCGGTTTTCAGGCTTGTTCAAGTGAATTTTAAAAAGGTTTAACAAGTAAAAACCACTTCCGATGAAGGATAAGACGTTCCCAAAACCTTATGACGCAGACGATGGCAGTCGCGAAAATGTACGGAATTATTGCATTTTGGGGTGAAAGTTTCCGCAGTGTTGTCTTCTGATGAACCTTCAATGATAATTTTCTTTATTGAGGAGCTAAAACTTACACGATTTTGCAAGAATTAGCGAATTAAGGCGGCAGACAGTTCCTACGAAATTCCGGTCTCCCGAAAATTCACAAGAAAGGAGAAAATTTCCGACAAGAAAAAGAATGAAGATTTTCCTCTCGATTTCAAATCAGAAAGTGTACTACTATGTAGGTTCAATGCATAAAATCTGCTGAAAAAGCCCAAAAAAGAGGCTTTCAACTCGATTTCACTTCGAAAAAAGTTTCACCAAGTTTCAAGAAATTGAATTTGTTTCGGGATGATTCAGATCAGATGTTAGTACTTTGTTATGGGAAGAGTACTCTGATTGAAAAAAGAAACATTTCCACGAAAAAATTTCACATTTTTTATCCACAGCCAACACAGGTCACAACTCACAAGAAGATCTCACTTCTATTCGAACTAAAAAGGATTCCTACTCGACCGAATTATTTTTTGTGTTACGGCAAAAGATTCAAGCTTCAACAACAACAAAATTTTGCACAAAAAATCCCGGTTTTCTTTCAATCCACACTGCAATTCCGCACGCACAAAAAAAAAATACTCTTTTCTGGGTTCGATGACGAATCTTTTCGAGATTTTTACCCGCTGTTGATCGCATTAAATAAGCATATGCAACAAACAGGATTGTTCATCGACAAGCAGAAATAAGCATAAACTATAACGAAGGCACCAGTTTGGCACTGAGCCGTGTCCTTCGGGCACAGGTCACCTCGAGGCATTGCGAAACCCGAGGTCAGGACTTCTCCGACTTGCTCAACGAGACTCAATTCTTGACGACGTTCTGCTGATCGCATTTCACGTTCTGTTTGTACGTGAATCCATTGGGGACACCCTGTACGTACAAAATAAATACAGTACATGAAAATGGGCACCGTATTTAAAGAGAAGTGAGCAATTCTAGTCTCGATAGAAGAAATTCTGTTCATCAGATGATCCCCGGAGTATTTTTAAATTATCAAGAAAATTGACAGAGGCTTCTTTCGAGTTCCGTTATCGAAAAAACTTCAGAACCATTGCTCGTACATTCATGAAATTCATCAGTGCTGAACGTTTGTTAAATTTCAAATATTTTAAAAATTAAAAAAAACGAACCTGAAGCTGAGGAAATTGCGCTGAGTCCGACCCCGGTCCTGACCAGAACGGGGTAATCGTTCGACCTCCTCACTATTTGTCCGACGCGTTGCAAACATGTCCAAATTGGCACAGGTTGTTCGTTGAAATTCAGGATTTCATCCTCGAATTTCAAGCTGTTCATAGCATCTTCAACTTCCAAATCAAGGCTGTCTTTCCTCGCGTTTACGCCAATAGCGAAAAGCGCTAGAGTGATACAAATTCTGGAAGACACAAGAGAATCATTTTCTATCCACACTGGATGTTTAAAAAACTTTTTGACTTATTTACCGCTTGAAATGTGACATAATGTTTTCCCAGTTTCAAGAGTCAACTTTTCGTTACCGCGTTCTGAGATTTACTGTCGTAGCGTCGTGTTTCGTGACGAGGATTTTAAAGACACGTACAGGATTCATTTTTCCCCCTCCTAGCTGGAAAAGTTGACGATGCGGTGCTAATTTTCTTTCTGAAGAACAGTGTTTTTTTCTTACGATTTGCCGTCGCAAGTATTCGCGTGAGGAGATAACAGAATCGAATTTTTCAGTTGAAAAAATATATAACTTAATATTCATTTTTCCCCACGCACGTCATGCGATCAACGTTGCGTTTCTTCGTATATACGCTACCGAAAATTTTAATTGATGACACAACCAAAGCCCGAAGATGTTTAATCGCCAACCAATCACGTAAAAAACACACGTGTCTATATACAGATGAACATTTTGACTGGTTTTGGAATTAATTGAGAAATTAATTACAGAAAGCAAAATTATCTTCAGTTGCTGGATGCATTCTGTTGTGTTCAGTAGAAATCAATTCAGTGAATACTTATTGAAAAAGTGAATTTGGCGAACAAAATTTATTTTTTCTTCGTTTTTTTTTTGCAAAATGAAGAACGAGTAGGGCAACGATTTTTCCCAGCCGTGTTTCGTTCAATTTGAGTACTTACATAAAATAAAAATAAATTGGTGTCCAGAAAAGCATGTTGGGAAAAAAAATCATGCAATGCAACCGTTTTCGTTCCTAAATTTTTAGGATGCGGGACGTTTAAAAAAAAATCATGAGCAATTGCGTATTGTCAGAAGAAAGTCAAATGTGTCAGACTTCGATTTCATAACTTTCCTCATATTGGATACGATTCACGCTGAAATTCCGATGATTATTTACCAATTTTCGACTCAGAAATCCGAAAAAAAAATGTTTGAAATTATAAATGAAGTGGTAATGCTACTGGAAAATATAATACAAATTCTAATAATGAATTGACGAATTAAAAAAAAACACACGCACACGAGCATCACGAAATGTTTTCGATTGTTCGCAAATGAGCTTCTGAAACGTAAACAACTTCAGCGCCTTTCCCTCGGATATAAACGAATCCGACCGACTGCAAAAATTCAGCAACAGCAGCTTCGCCTTCTTCCGTGTGTAGCAAATCCAACAAAATGACCTTGAACCAGCATCGAAAATCAACATTAAAAAAAACTAAATGTGAGACATTCAAAAGAGAGGAAACGTGTTCTCTAACCTTGATTTTGAAATTGTCCCAGTTGATTGTTTTGAGCACTTGAAGTTCGACGCCTTCAACGTCTAGCGAGAACAAGTCGATTTCTTGAAAATTTGCTGCTGAAAGCAGAGCTTCGAGAGGATAACAATCAACTGTGGCAGAAAATGGAACTTTCCCTTTGTGGTTCCAGGTTTTCATGTTCTTTGCCCATTTTTTGGCACTTATTGTCGCTCCCCACATTGTGTGAAGTAATTTTGGGTCATGCAACATATTCATCTCTACCTGAATCAAACGGAGACTCTTTGAATATTTTCCTTTTCGTATAACAAGCATTATAAATAAATTACGGAAGTACAGTATTGCCGTGAACTCATTACTGAATTTCGAGTTTAAATTTGATTTTTAAAAAACCAAAGAAAACGTGAATATTTGGCGAATTTTCAATATATAATCTTGAAATTCGTCTCATAAGGAAACGAATCATAGTAGAAGGCGGAGTTCATTCACATTGAAAGAAAAATTCCTAACATCCTTCGAAATCGAAAGCATCCCTTTATATGCACATAAATTTATAAAATGTTACGGTTCATTAATCTATGGAAGCGCGTTCATCGCCTAGCATTTTTCATATGACTAAGTCGAAGATTCAAAAAATGTTCAGGAAGTTTTTTTATTCAAATATGTCTCACTTTAATTGGTTTCCGTCGAGGTGACAGACAAACAGGAGCAATCCAGGATTTGCGATTTTTTGCAAGCAATAATTCCATAGCCATTGGGTTCATTTCAGCTAACAAACCCGTCCAATTCAGTGTTCTTTCGAGGTAAAGTGAAGTGGAAAGAATTTCACCATCCAGTGCACCTGCTTCAAAGAAAACTCCAGACTTTTTCTGGAAGCAGCTGTAAAAATCTTATTCAGAAAATATTTAAGAATCCATTAACTTACCCCAGGGAAAAATGTTGGGATTATAAATTTCGAGACGATATCGTTCATTGAAGTGTCAAACCCAGGAATCGTTGTCAAATTATAGGCTTTGATCGATGGTTTAATCAAAATTTTATCCCGCACAAATGAAATCAAATCTTCATCCACGGAATCTTCCTCGATTTCATTGCACAACTCTTCCACAAATCCCATTCTTGTTCCGGTTTCGTAGCACAAAGCGATAAAAGTAACACATGCGCAGAAAAGGATGAATTTTTTCGGCAGCATGGATTTTTCCAATTATGATTAGTTTTTTTTTTTCTTCTGCAAAATTACGAGTTTGAAACGTCGGATAGAAGCCCGACGTTGGAAATGAATGAGAAGTGAACTGACGAATGCTTATCGCCTGAGATTTTCAGCGAACCCGACTTGGGAACCAGGAAAAGATTAGCGCTCTTCAACGTTATAATTTTTTAAAATCATGATCAAGATCAAGAGAAAATCTTCAAGCACTGTCTAAATGGATTCGCAATCAACTGGGAACGTGTTCTTTCATTTCAATGCAATATTTCTCGTTTCGTACAGCATTTATGAAATTTTAGCCCAGTTTTCTACTGACAGCGGCTCGTCTTTTTTTTTTTTGTCATAGGCCACAAGATTTAAAGCCCTTAAAATTAAAGTGTGGCCTACTTTAAATATTTAATGCATAAGGCCTCAAAATTCGTCACTTTCGGATGAGCGCCCAAGTGATTATTTGTGTGTGTGTGTTATTAAATGTTATTTCATAAAATTATAGCTGAGTGAATTCAATTCGCGAAATTTAAGTTTCGATGAGATTAAAAAGAGAAAAATATAATTTTGTAAGGCCATCATGGTGAAGACATTTCTCACTCATAATTTTTAATATCTCGCTGTGGAATATGCAGAATATATTTTGTAAAAATCGGCACAATTCTGATGTGCGGCCTTTTTTCGCTCGACCAATGTGGTCCTCAAAGAAAAACTTCGTCAATATTCAGGTCATCAAAAACGCTTCAATTTTTAATCTCAAATTTTACAAGGAGATGCCGGATTGAATAAAAAAAATTGTTGAAGTGGATTCGAAAATGATGCATGGATACTGCGCAAATATAGTGACTGACATCAGTAAAAAATGAGGGCGCTTTCGAGTTCCTTGCAGTTGGTTATCCTGAGATGAGTAGTTTCTTCCACGGGCGACAAATAGCTGCAAATCAGCTCTCCCTTCCCATTCACGCCGGTCCACTTCAAAATGAAATTGTCAGTTTTGAAATAGAAGACAAATTTGAAAGCCGTGCCCTTTTCGAAGGCGAAATCGTCTCCTGAAGCCACTTCCCGACGCCAACCGGGATCCACGTTGGACCCGACCCAGAGTTTTCGCTCGCTGAAAA